AAAGTAACATACTGTACTCACCATTTTGCAAGAAAGCCTTCTTAACAAAATAGCACTAGTATCAAGTTTCATTGAGATGCAAGAAAAGAGAGGGGCACAGTGCTTTGGCCCACATGCTCTCCCTTCTCTTCCATGTCCGGGAAGTTCTGTAATCAGTGGTACCCTCAACTAACAGGAGACTACTAAATTTATTCTGAAATGTCTGTGATTTGATACTTAAGATTAATCATACTGATACTTTTCTATTTCATTTTCTTTGTTGTCCTTTTCTAACCCTGGTAGCCTTCAAACTTTTTGACTGGCCTGCTTTCCCCTTCTCCTCTCTGTAGTGTTGTCTCAGCTTGGCTCTGCCGAGAACAGACCTGAGCAAAGCCTTCCTCAGCAGAGATTCCAGCTCTCCTCTGCCTTTCAACAGCAGCAGCAACAGATCCAAGTAATCCAGCAACTTCACTCTGGTTACATTTTTAAAGATACTCTGCTCCAACAGTACTTCAAAATACCTTACTTTAGTTTTATTTTACTGTCTTTTAAGACTATACAGTAATTGGTAAATAACTTAGCAAATTTTATTTAAAAGTCTGACAATTTTAGCCAACTTGGAGCACTCAGTATATATTTTGTACATTTAAGTCATACCCTTTTCCTAATTTAAAATCTTTCCTGAAGTGCTGGTGGCACATTATTATAGTTTCCAATGTATTTTGAAGTAGTCAGTTGTAAGTGCCAATGGTTAACTTCTTAATACTGTACCGCAGAAAAAGGCAAGTATACCAGTGTTCCTGTTAGTAAATGTCATACTTGTTTTAGAAAAATGTTACTCCATTATTCCGGGAAGGCAGCGTACTACAGTGGACTGTCTTTGCAGGGAGGTTTTATGTTGCTGTGAGCTGTCATACAGCAAAATGGTAGCTGAAGTTGCTGAGTTACTGCTAAATAGACTGGCCAGGCAAGGTCACAGAAATACCCCTGAAGTCGACCGAGAACCGTTTAAAGCCCTCGGCAGGCTTCTGTGCCACTGGTGCTGTTTGACTGTGCGTTGTCTCAGTGTGGTATAGTCCCTTTTTGTTATCTTGGTGCTTTCTCCCTTTCAGTTTTGTTGTTTCCATCACTCTGAGGAAAAGCACCTTGCCATTCCTGCCTACATTGGACCTAACTTGATTTTCTCCTTCTTTTGCAGCAGTTGCGATTCTTGCAGCATCAAATGGCTATGGCGGCGGCGGCGGCACAAACAGCGCAGCTCCCCCGGCACCGGCACACAGGCAGCCAGTCAAAAAGTAAAGTGAAGAGAGGCGCGCCGACCACTCCGAAATTCTGAGTCGTGCATTTTTTTTCCTTTTAAAAACATTAAGAGCATTGAATCAAAAGGGTTCTGAGTTTCTACTTTGTTTTTTTTTTAAATACCAGTATTTTACATTGCTAGATACACAAACTTTATACAGAAGCACAACCCTATGATTTTTAAATAAAAACAGGGAAATGATTTAACGAACCCTTAGGGTTGGTTTGCCTAAGTCATTGCTTTTTAAAAATGGTTTCACTGTACATAATGCAGAAGTGACCTAAGAAATACTAGAAACATCTTTCAGAAGAATGTAGTTTGATATTTATTTAGTATAAAAGGTTTGTGCACAGTGTAACAAATACAGTTTTTACAAATCTGTTTTGGAAATGTCGTGATTGTTTATTTGGGTTTCATACTTTTAAATACTTCATCCATCAGTTTTTTTACTTCTTTGTGTCTTGTAACTGCTCGGCTCATACAGTCCTGAAGTTTAGCTCCAGTCAGTCCACTTCCACCTGAAAAATTATTGTGCCAACACTATTAATACCTGTTATTTTTACATGATCAACATCATGTCAAATTAAAAAACTAACAAAAAAATCAAAACTATAAACCAGTAGTATGGTCTCAAGATTTGCAAGTTATGTTTTAACAAGACCGCCCAAGTGATCCTGAAGTTTAAGAACATCCAATATAAAAACGCAAGGAATCTGAGGTAACAGAGAAACTACAGTAGACTTAATGTTAGGCAAAACAATAAAAGATCCACATTCCATCTGGCCCTCCCTAATACAAAGAAGCTCACACTGAGTTCATCTCTGTTTGGTACTGAAATGGAGGGGGAAGTACATGCCTGGTTTGTGAAGACAACATAGTTTGCCTTCTTCATCCATTACTACTGTTAAGGTTCCAGTTGCCAGATGTTCCTCCTCTTCAGTAGGGTCAACTATAAGCAGAGTGCTATTTAAAAAATTTAAAAGTGTACATTATCAATCCATGGGACGAATTTTATTTTAGAAACATACTAATTAAACTCACCACCTGCATTCTACCTTAGACATGGAGCTAGACAGAACTGGTAGAAACCAGAAAAATTAATAGCAACCTAAAATTCTACTACTTGTAATAAGAATCTTTGCCCTTCAATTTATGAATATATTAAAATCCATGGCAAACACTGAAGACAGCACAAGGTAAATCTTTTGTGAAATAATTGAAAATTAACATTACACAGGAAAAAGCAAACCAAGCTACAAGGTAAGAAACAATTAATCCGAATCAGGATGTTTTTAACTGTAAGGATTAGCTAATAATAATTGTGCAGGGACAACAGGTATAAGGTCAGGTGTCCACGCAAACTAGGATGTATAGTCAGTCACCTTAGGTATTTCCTGAAAAGTTAGAAAGCTGAAAAACAATCCATTACCTTGAATATACAACTTTTATACATTTGATTAACTTACTCGTCAAACACGGCAAAGGAAGTTGCAACTGGATGAGTTCTAATATTCAAATGACTTTTCTTTTTAAAATTAACCTCTGCTAAAGCAGTTTCTTCATTTATAGTAACTTCAGGCAACCGTACTAGAAAAAGACAAACAGGTAAAATCAGTCTCACACTAGTGAAAAGAACAAAAAGGCATTCTGTGCTTTGTTAATTCACTTTTCCCTCAATTTAATTTGTCAGAAATACTACTTTTAAAAAAAAGAACAATTAAGTATAGTGGATACAAACATTGTTTTCCTTTAATTTAGAAACACATGAATGATAGGTAACTCTTAAGAACCTTTAAAAATTTATTGAGAAATTTTAACAAAACAACATTCTGATGTAAGTAGGAATATTCCCTAAGGTTGCTTACCATTTTTTAAAGCTGCTAACAAAGCAAATGTGCAGGCATCCAAAATGTTTCCATCATGGTTGAGGCAAATGAGATCACAGTATAGAACCCAAGCAAGCTAAAACAGAGTTTACACATAGTAGAAATTAAAGCTTTCTGATTGGTATAACATGGTATTTGCTTCTACTTAGAAACCACACCCTTGATTAGACAAGCAAAATAACCTTCAAGGCTCAAAAACTTAAAAATTTAAAAAAGCTTTACATTTATAAAATAAAAACAGTGGACAGGTTTGGTAAAAGCTGACTTGACCACCAAAAGCTGACATCTCCATTTCCCCCAAGGGAGTTATATACTGAGAAGGAATTCCCATCCTTATTGGGATGAGAGTATTGCTTTTGAAAATCCCAAATGAAACTCAAAATGTACTTTAACACAGAAACCTTAATACATGAAATTTTTAGGTTTTACAAGGCTTAATAAATCAGTATAATCAAAAAGGAAAAGCCTCTAGGTACTAGTCAACTTGGTTTGAAGTTTCCAAACAGACTTGGAATTTACAGTGTGGATTCACCTTAAACATGTTAGCTGGTCAGATATTGATATGCTAGAAGGAATTTTAAAATGACTGTATTCGCTATAAAAGTTATGGGGCGAAAAGATCATATCAGCTTAAAAGGTAGCTCCCAGCCTGGCAATGAAGTAATCAAAATTGGTTTTTTGTGAACTATATAGTTCATCCAGATAGAGTAAGACTGATTTTTTTTTTAACTGAATTCCATTTAGAAACAAGACATCCGTATTTAAGGCTCTGTGGTTTTTTTTTAACTTCCCCCACAAAAAAAAACACTTCAGAATTAATAAAAGCTCATAGCTTCTTTATTCCTGTTACCTTTCCTGGAGAAATGCATAAGTCCTCTTTCTGAATTATCTGTGAACTTGATTTAAAGACAAAGAGCTCAGTAAATAAAAGGTCAAAAACTCTCTAAAATGAATGTCAGATTTTATCATGATGATCTTACTTTTCAATGACATCTGCAATGAACTGGCTGGCTACTTGGGCCTCTTCTCCAGGAGGTCCAGACCGAAATCTCGATGAACACAGAGGTGACAGATCCACATTCGGAACTGAAAGAAACACTGCTGCTATGAACCAAACTTCACCTCTGGTTTAATATTAAAGGTATTAATAAATCCACTGCAAAGGCAACTGTGGCCATGGATGGGGTTTCCAAGTAGGAAGCACTGTAACACTGCAATTACATTCTTTTTCATCTTTGTGAGAATCAGGCTTAGATAAAATTTGTATTTGCCAACTTTTTTTCTACACAAATACAAAAAAAAAGTCTATTTAAGGCCTCAATCCTAAATTATTCACATAAAGTCCTTAGATTTCTTTCAAAATACCCCAATCTGTAACAGAAGATAGCCCCTCTAGTCAAACCAACTGTTCTGTATTTTTAAAATGTTGATTCCTACCATAAAGAAAAGATGGCCAAAGAAGAAAATCACAGTGGTACAGTATAAACAAAAATCTTTATGGAAATAAACATTTTCAGTTACAGCACTTTGCCTAAGAGATTCTATTTTCTTGGTTGATGACATCTGTATAAACAAAAACTGATGAAACAAGTTTGATAAATATATTTACAAAATTCTGTATCTTGCTGTTACGGTATCTTCTAAGATACACACAGAAAACTTATATACAGGAATGTATGAAGCTTCTGAGTAAATTTTTTCCACTGTACTACGATTTAGCTATAATAACAGTATTAACCATGTTAAAGTATTTGTATTAAAATTCCAAAACCATTTAACTTACCAACATATCCCTTATCAGGGGCATCTGCTGGTGGTGCTCCAAATTCCTACAGAAGTAAACAAATGTTTCCTATGAAAGAAGCTGCTAAAAAATTGTGAAGACAGCAGTCAGTCATGGAAGGCTCTACCAAAGACCGTGAGTTAACTCCACCACGAGCACCTACTCTGCTTGGGAAGGTACGCAGGGGCTCTAAGGCCACGGCGCCACTCACTAGCTCTGCAAGGCAAGAAGGCAGTACAGCATGGCTGACTGCAGTGCACTCAGCAAAATTACCTGGAGCTCTAACTGAATTTCTACCCGACCCTCTCTTCCACGTGTCAGTAGCCAAGAATATGAATTTAAAGTCCAGGTGATACTGACACCAACAGATTTAGGAATTGATGGTATACTGATCAAGAGCAAAATCCCTGGAATCACTGACCTGGTTCAAATGTCAGACCAACACTTTCTGGCTTGAAAGTCTTTGAGCAAGTTATTTAACCCCTTACCATTCAACTTCCTCATTTGTAAATGGGAAATTAATAGGGCCCACTTTCAGGGACTATTA